AGCTCACCTATACCGTAACACACTACCACTCACGCGATTATTCATCGAAATAAATAAATAAAATTACATAACTATACTATAAGATTATATAAGATATTATGTAATGTTTATATATATCATATATGATATATATATATATATATCACAGGTAATAATGAAACAAAATGTCAAATTATTTAAGTACAAAATTGTCATTAATTAAACCCTGCTTAATCTATTATACATATATATTATTTATATATATAATATATATATATATATAATATAGCGTACCGTTCTCGTCCTTGTTCGTCCACTGCCACTCTACGATCGGTATCGGGTTGCCCTCGGCCGTGCATGCGATCAGAGCGTCCGAGCCTTCCTCAAAGTCCTGAGTCTTCGCTCCTGACATGCTGATCTCCTCTGTAGAGAAACGTATGAAGAGGTTAGCGGGACTGCCACCAACTACATAGGTAACTCATGGTGACAATGGGTACTATGGTGACAATCACTACATGAGGCACTCGACATTACCAGACAAGTTGGGCAACCGCTTGCTCCCTCCCTCTGTCTCCCACATCTATCTTGATCTATCTTTCTCTCTCCCTCTCTCTCTCCCTCGCTCTCTCCCTCGCTCTCTCGCGCTCTCTCTCTCTCCCTCTCTCTCTATCGCTCTCTCTCGCGCGCTCTCTCTCTCTCTCTCTCTCTCTCGTTCGCTCCTCTTTCTTTCCCTCTTGACGTCTTTCTTTCTTTCTTCTCTATGCGTTTTTATTTTCCCCCTTTCTCTCTGGCTTTCTTGCGTTCTCATCGCACACGCTGGTGTGCTGGGGTGGTGGGGTGGTAAACTGCTGTACCATATACAGCCGCGTATGTGTCTGTAAGAATCGCGTACCTGTACGCATCCCGTGACTATTTCGCACCTGTTAGCATCACGACTACACACATGACACAGGTGTCCGATTACGTAGCCCTCAGTTAGGACCGACCTAATAGGCAACTAGAACAGCAGCAGTACTGCACTACGATTGCACTAGGGCCACAATTAAAAACATCTTTGCCCTCAACCGACCCAGGCTGAAAAGTTTGGGTATGTAGGTAGGCTTTTTTGAAGGGGGTCTTTTTACAAATTCAGCATGGTGTCTACATGCTCGGGTGTGCTTGTGTGGAGATGCCATTTATGTTGAATGTTTGTTTTGCTTGGTTCATTGCCTACAGATTTCTATAATATACAGTGATACAATTTGCCAAAAAAAGAAAGAATGGGAAACATCAATAAAAATGTTCGAGTCGGCCCCTTTTTGGCGGGTCGGTCGGGTGAGGGCAAACAAACAAAATTTTTATTATGGCCTCTAATTCTAGACTGTGATACACTGCATTCGTACTAAATTAGAGGTGGTACTTGGTATATATATATCGCACGCACACTGCACTGGTATTGCAGTCGTGCGGGACTATGCTACTTGTAGTAACGCATAACTTAACAATAAGTAAGTGATTTGCGCAGCAGCTGGTTGCATGTCTGGTCATGGCTTCACCACCACTCTACCACTGCATCGTTACTCTGCACTCATGTTTGATTAGCTAGCATTCGAGCTTCATTTGCCAGCATCCATTTCCATCGGCCACAGACAAGTTGGGCAACCGCGCCCCCTTCGCTCTCTATCTTTCTCTCTCCGTCTCTCTCCCTCTCTCTCTCTCTCTCTCTCTCTCTCTCTCTCTCTCTCTCTCTCTCTCGCTCGCTCTCTCGCTCCTCTTTCTTTCCCTCTTGATGTCTTTCGTTCTTTCTTCTCTATGTCTTTTTCCCCTTTCGCTCTGTGTCTCATTCATTCTCCTTGGCTTTCTTTCTCGCCCTCTCCTTCCCGCTCACACT